CGTTTCCTAAAACCAGGAATACATCTGCCAATTGGGAAATACACTGTCTTCTCTGGTCATCTCAGGGAATTAATTTTAAAGTTTCCAAAAGACAAACATCTCCTGACAGATTCGGATCTCAAAAGTGAAGACAAGATGAATTTTGCATCCGCAGAAAAAATGTGCAGTTTGATAGTAATTGAACGACTGAATAAGGAAATTCCACAAATTAAATAGAGCGTGGGGTATCTCAAGCTAATGTACTACATCGAATCGTCGTTCTTAAATTCCAGCACTGTGTTGCATACTAGATTATATCGCATCTGGTATGTTGTATTTTTTACTAGAATCTGGAGAGCCTGGATTAAAGAACAAAAAGAATATAAAATAACAGACAACTTTTTGACCAGTAATTGTAACCTTTGCATCGAAACGCCCATGCTTTGATTAAACTAATACTGAAGCTTAACAGCGCGCAGCGGTGAGTTAAACCCAGATATGTTCATCAACGGCATTTTGGGTAGCCAAGCATGTGAATCCTTATTTCGGGCTGTCAGATCCATGACTTCTACGTATTTAACAATAATACATTTTAGTATAAAGGATATGCTGAACCGAATTGAGAGAATTAAGACAACTGATACCATAAACGATCTGAGGGGGACTTTTACATTTCCAAGGGAAGACAAAAGATTAAAAACCAGACTAATGAAAGAAAATTTACCACGCGAAGAAGAAATTTTTAATTTGGATATCAAATCTACAGTTAAAAATGCTCTACAAAATGGAGGACATGAAACATCTTGTAATTAATGCAAAAGAAAACGATTGGAAATATATGCAGGTAGGTACCGTTAATAAGACGGAAACAAAATATTGCAATTACACAGGATAATGAAGACGCCGACGAAGACAACGATGAAATTGTCGAAAACCCCGAAGAAAATTGGCAAAAACAAATATTAGTAATGAGGACGATAAAGTTATGGATGAAGATATGGACTTAATTTCGAACGAGATTTCTAATGAAGATCGCGAATGTGATACTTTGAAAACGAGTTGTATAAGTTTGAAAGAATTTTCTAAAAAAGTGCACAGTGTATCGGAAAAATCACCGTACCTATATAATATTATATATTCAATTATTAAAAAATCATCGTACTGCTGGCTTTTAGATCAGTCCGACGGTAGAGTAAGTACTTGCCGATTAAAAAGATTTATAGGCAGTACAAGGAAAACACCAAAGAAAACACCTTTCAAAAATTCCAAGTCGCCCTTGACTATAAACAGAAGCTATGCATGGATCAAGCTAGTAGCACAAGCACTATATCCTCCTCCGACTCTATCGTGATGGAACTCGACTACTCCGATAATTTGGAGGAGTTTTCAGATGAAATCTTGTCGTATAAATCAGAAAATGTATCGAAATTTGCCGGACTCGAGATACACTTAGAAAACTATTATGCGGTTTTCTATGACCAATCGTGAGCTTTGCTGCACGAGCGAAGCGAATGTAGAACACACTATTTAGAAATCGCCGCCTTTCACCACGAAATATGTACACTATTTTTTATGACAAAATGAAAATTCGACTTTCGCTGCTCTTTAAGAGAGAAAAATTGTTAATATTTAAGTTAATTCATAAACAAAAATATACCAAACTAATTAATAATATTAATTATTAAAGAACTTATGTTAAGCGAAAGTCGAATTTATGCTGCTAGTGTCATGAAAAAGCATTGATTAATATAATACTTTTCTTAACGATTTTTAAAATGTGCTTAATAAAAAGTTTTGCTAACCAGAAAACGTATACTTTTCTTTACTATTTCTCTTAGTAAAGTAAGTATGCTATTTTTCATTAAGAATACGAACAAATATAGCCTTAAAAAATATACCCTTCAAAAAGAATTACTATAGTAATTACTATAATATTAATGGTAATTATTCATGTTAAAATGTATACCAAGAAAAAATAGAAACTAAAACCTTGAAAGTTAAAAAATAATAGGGATATTTAAAATTTAATATAAAATTAATTAAAACCTTTTAAACCTCACATTCCTAATACAGACATTATTTTATAAACATGCAAAATATCAATATTAAAAATTACATAGAAGAAAAATCACATGTTAAAAATTCATTTATATCTTATTAAAGCTAAATACCGTATTTCTAGGAGACGCAAGAAGGTCGCGAAATGTAATGACGCAATATTGTATTACGGATATATATATATACATTATATATATATATATATATATACATCCTTAGTACAATATTGCGTCATTACAATTTGGCAACACTGTAGGACGCAATAAAGTCTGTACAAGCCATATAATTTTTAAAATGAAATATACACGTGACGCAATATTATATCAAGATTAAAATGAGTTAATAATGTAGTGACTTTTGAAAAAAAAGTGTATATCTTATTTTTTAAAATAAAAAAAATCTGACCAGATTTTTGGAATCAGCAAAAAAAAGTACGCCAATATACTCTTCTATATTTTCGCTAAATACCGTATTTCTAGTAGACGCAATAAGGTCGCGAATTGTAATGACGCAATATTGTATTAGGGATGTATATATATATATATATATATATATATATATATATATATATATATATTCCTTATATGTATGCAAAATACGCCGTCCTAGACCTATTAAAACATATTAAACATTTGCAATAATAATTAAAGGAAGTTTTTTAATATTTTTTAAAAAGTTAAATTTAATCTAGTCTTGAAAATAATCAAGAGTTTTGGCTTAAAGTCTTGTCTTGTCTTGATTATAATCAAGAGTTTTTGCTAAAGTCTTGTCTTGTCTTGATCAACTTAGACAAGATATGTTGACGGTCTTGTCTTGATATTCTAGACAAGACAAGACAAGAGTCTAAAATGTGTTAGTCTTGACGGCAACACTAAATATATTTATTACATTTGATGATGCCAAAATTTTGTACCTGTTTTTATTTGGCGTTGATATTTAATTGAACAAGATTTTTTTATTTATATTACTTTCAAAATTTTGTTTCAATATCAATATATGTCAATTTTAAGCAATTGTTATCTAATAATATACGTCTCCCTGTCTCAGTGAAGTTGGCCCAACTAACAAAAATAGTTTTTTGAAGATATTTCGAATATTGTACGGTAATTAATTAAAATAAAAACATTGTTTTAATTAAATAAATAACGTTTATTAAATTTTCTACCGTTAAATTGTATTTTTAAGTACCTAATAAAAAAATATTTAAAATTCTTTTATATTGTCCGTAAACCAAAAATTAAGAAAAAAAAATATTTTAAATAAATATATTAAATATATACATTTTAATTGGAAACTACAACTGCGTAACATCTCCTTTATGGCTTATTACTGCCTGTATACGTCTCGGCATGGTGTCAACCAATTTTTGACAATCATCCGTCGTAAAATTATTCCAAATTTCTTGCAGGCGAGACGGTTCTTGCGGGCTGTTCTCTGAGCTTCTTTTTCATAATATGCCACAAAGTTTCTATAGGCGAAAGATCTGGACTTCTAGATGTCCATTTTAAAAGTGAAATATTATTTTCTATCATCCAAGCTTTCACTTTTTTAGCCGTATGACACGCTGCACCATCTTGTTGGAAGATGCATTCAATATCATTTAAACGCATTTCTTCAATTTGCGGTTTTAAGTTATTTTTAAGGACGTAAATATATTTATCAGCATTCATAATGCCCTCTACAAAGTGTAATTTACCGATCCCTTTAGCTGACATAGATCCCCAAATCATCACAGAGACCGAAAACTTTACTTTTTTCTTAAGACAGTCATTGTGAAAGACTTCTGCTTTAGTTCTAATGACTCGGTTTCGATTATCACCAACGCAAACTTCAAATCTAGCTTCGTCACTCCATATAATTAAATACCATTGATTTTGACACCAAGTCCTGTGCTCTTTTGCCCAGAGAAGTCTATTTTTCTTCTGTTTTTTTTTGTCAATAAAGGTTTTTCCTTTGCCTACAGATAGTAAAATTAAAAATAAATAAAAATCGTATAATGTATATATACATTATAAGCAAACCTTGTAAGTTTTAAACCCAAGTTTTTGAGCAGCTCTATGACAGGTTGCTCTTGAAAAACATTTACTCGTTGCCTGATTCCACAAAACTTTTAATTCACCGTAATTAGCCCTACGATTTTGAACGATAATTCTTCTTAAAGCCCTTAAATTTTTATTAGAATAGTGAGGATGACTTCCATTTTTTGGTTTCTGCGCCACAGATCCTGTAGTTTTGTGCAGTTTAATAATATTTCACACTGTATATCGTGACAAATTAACAGTTTCAGCGATTTGTGCAGCGGATTTTCTTTTTAAATGCAAGTGAATTATCACTTTTCTTATTTCTTCAGAAACAGCTTTTCCTCGGGACATTATTATTTGTCAACCACACCGAAAGCATAAATATTTACTGGAATGTCACTAACGACTTGCTTACAATTATTTAAATGTTAAATATTATCTTTACTTTTAGCACAGCCGACTTGCATTAAAAAATCTGGCCATCCAAGTTAATGCATTTTTGTCGATTTTTTCGTATTGTAACCAAACATCCAACTTAAAACTAAATAATATACATACCTACACATATTTTTAAAAATTTTACAACAAGAAGATTACCAAGAATTGCATATGATAAAAAATTGTTGGCTTTTCATCGCATAAAATTACAAATTTTATATTTTGATTGGTTGGGCCAACTTCACTGAGACAGACCTCGTATTATATTATTTTTTCATTGAAATTAATTGAATTAAAGTAAGTACATACGAAATAAAAAACAACTAAGACCATTTTCACTGGTACAATAAAAATGCACTTTAAATTTTGATTTGTCGGAAATGTTTAAATTATTTACATATATACCTATTTTTTTAATTATAATATAAAAGGATTATATTTATCTACCTGTTCTATATTTTAAAAAATGTATGTGATTTTCAAAGTTTTTTAAACCATTTTCAGGGGCCCTTTCATACGCAGAGCTAGGTACGATGAATACATCTTCAGGAGCGGAATACGCCTACTTTATGGACGCTTTCGGAGCCCCGCCGGCCTTTCTGTTTTCCTGGGCCAGCACGCTGGTCCTAAAACCGTCGCAGATGGCCATAATCTGTCTCAGCTTCGGAAAATATGCTGTTGAAGCCTTCGTGACACAGTGCGAGCCTCCGGAAATTGTCGTCAAGATGGTAGCACTGTTAGCCATCGGTAAGCTTTGCAAAGTTTGATTTTTATTAATATCGATATATTTTTTAGTTTTATTAACTAAAAACAATAAAGCGTGCGAGCATCAGGTGATTATTATTTGTTATTTGCTTTCTTAAACTTCATGCACCATTCTTAATAGTTCATTATTAAGAGTTATCATGCATGAACAATGTTAGTTGTTAAACAGTAATAAACAATGTTATTAAAACTAAATAAAAAGTTTTCTTTATATTTAAAGCTTCAGTGTTCGATCTATGATAATGCAAAAATTGTACATAATAAAAAACAATAAAATACGAATGATTTAATCTCGCATTCTTTTTAATTTAGAATAACAATTGATTAACGAATTATTTTTGTTTATAAATATAACTGATTTTTTTAAATGTATAGTACCTTTACTTATCACGCCATTATAGGCATACAAATATAAGGCAAGCCGTTTTAGTTTTTATTACACATGGCTATCAAGTCTGATTTTAATTCGACTTTATTTCTATATATAATTTCAATTATCTAATGTCTCATATGAGACATTCTTTTACATATCGTACGGATTACAGAAAACATATTTTTTCAAATTTTTAAAATGACTTAATTTTTTTTTACAGCATCTTTTCATAAATTTAGCCGACCCCTATATCGGAATTTTTGCAGAAAATTTATTTTTCCAAAGATATATTGATTTAAACTTTTGATAAAATTTGAAAAAATGCTGAATTCTTTTGTACTTAAAATTCATTATCTCCTGTTCTACTGATCGGATCGATTTCATTTTTTTTTTTTTAAACCATATTACATAGTCTTTTTAGATAAATATTTAAAAAGTTTGTGTTTTGTTTATTATATGAAAAAAATATTTTTTTTTGTATAAACAGATTTTTTGTGTTTGCCCCCTCTATGAAAAAAAATTAAAAAAATACTGTTCTATGCACTATTTATTACTCTACAAAATGAATTTTTCAGAAAAATGGAGACTTTTTTGGATCGGAAGATATTAAATATTTTCGAGCGCGTGACCAGTACAAGCCGTAAGGGGGCATCCATTAATTACGTGAGGCGTTTAGGGGAGGGAGGAGGTCAAGCCAAATCTCATCAATTCTCACGTAAGGGAGAGGGGGGGGTCTCGGCAAATATCACGTAATTTTTAACAAAGTATGTTTTTTTAATAAATCCAACAGAATCAAGCAGTTTAACGTATAAACATTAAAAATAAGCATTTTTTAAAATCTCACGTGAGATTAGGGGGAGGGGGTTGAGCCAAATCTCACGACATATCAGCAAGGGGGGAGGGGGTCAAAAAATCGCTAAAATTGACTTACGTAATTAATGGACACCCCCTAATCAGACATCTTCGAAACGCTAACACATTTAGGATTAGTGATGCCGCCGAACCGGAGAGATTCTCGCCTCTCGTCTCGTCTCGTCTCGACGAGACGAGAGGGAGATTTTCTATCGAAAAAAGGCTCGAGACGAGACGAGAGAATGCCCTCTCTTGCTCTAGAATTTCTCGTTTCTCTCGATCTCTCTCGTTCTCTCGATTATTCCGGTAATAAGTAAACAATTTTTTTACATAAAAATTTTAATTTTGCGATATTTATTTGGACCAATGAGAACATTATTCGCATTTCATAATAAACAAAATTTGTTCCTGTATAACGTTTTATTATTTTATAACACAACTTAAGGTTAACCAAGAAAAAAATTACTTATAAAATAATATTAATTTTTAAAATTTACCATGTATAAGCACATTTATGGCACTCCTTATACTATTAAACAACCCGTATGCTTAATAAGCATTGCTTATTCAATGAACTTATCAACAACATGTGGTTTTTGAGGGGCTGATTACAAATTTGATATCCATTTCTTCAAAAAATAAAATGGCTGATCCAATATGACGAAAATTTGTTGTTCGGCTTTAATGGTTTGGGTAAAATTTAGTATTTAGATATTTATGGGGTCCCTGATTAAGAATTTGATATACATTCAAAAAACAAAATTGCGGATTCAAAATGACGGACATGCGCAGTAGGTACAAGATGGTTGGATCTATGTGGAGTAGTTACATCATATAGACGCAGTAGTTTTCAGATGGATGGATGATTTGATCCATCCATCTGAAAACTACTGCGCCTATATACTACACTGAGAAAAAAAATGGGACAAATAAACTGTGTAGTTAATCCTTTTATTAATAGTGAATACATTGTTTATTACCTCTAAATAGTCGAAATAATAACGATAAATATAAATATATATATAAATATTTTTTTTATTTGGGAGCAATAAACTTTTTTCTCAGTGTTACAGTTACATCTATAGATGTAACTACTCCACATAGATCACACATTTTCGGCGTAAAAAGTCTTACTTTATCAGTGTGGTCTTGGCACAATTTTTTTTTATTTCCAGTTTAAATTTATATAGAAAAAATATAAACGAATACGTATTTAATTGCAAATAATTTTTGTATTCATACATAGGTACTTTTACCACGAGAGAAACGAGACGAGACGAGAGAAAGGCACTCTCGAGCGAGAAAAGAGTATTCTCGACGAGACGAGAGACCCATTTTCTCTCGCTGCACGAGACGAGACGAGAGAAGGACTTTTCTCGTCTCGTCTCGTCTCGCGGCATCACTATTTAGGATAGTGTAAACTCATACATCGTTTTAAAAAAATACCAGCGCTTTTTGTAAATTAATTCTGATTTTAAAGGTTTTCAATAATTTTAAATAAATTAAATTTTAAATAATACAAACTCCAATTAATGAGATGTCGAATCATGGCACTCTTATACAAAATATCACGTCACCCGCCACATGCACTAATACGTTTGAATATTACGCGCTTGACAGTCCTGTCACGCGCTCGAAAATGTTTAATATCTTCCGATCCAAAAGAGTCTCCACTGTTCTGAAAAATGTATTTTGTAGATAAAGAAAAAGCGCATAAAATAGTATTTTTTTCCTTTTATTTTATAGAGGGGGCAAACATGAAAAACTAGTTTAAAAAATTAATCTGTTATTAACTCCCTATACCAAAAAAAAAAAAATTTAATTTATTTATTTGAAAAGCCTATTCAATAAGGTTTAAAACAAAAAAAAAACAAAATCGATCCGATCAGTAGAACCGGAGATAATGGGTTTTATGTAGAAGAGAATTTATCGTTTTATCGCAATTCATAAAAACTTTATATCAACATATCTCTGAAAAAACAAATTTTTTACAGAAAACCTGATACACGTATTTGCTTATTTACTGAATAGAAGCGGTAAAAAAATTTTCATGCGAATCCAAATCCTGATGTCAAAATAGGTGTACGATTTGTAAAAGAATGTCTCATATATGAGACATTAGATAATTGAAATTATATGAATTTTCCTTAAGGGATATTACATTTTAATTACAAATTATAAATGAAAGATTAGATGTAGATGATTTACATTCGAAATTGTAATAAAAATACTAAAACAGTTCATTTTTATTTGAAATAATAATAAAAATTATTTTTATGACAAATAGTAATTTTAATGCAATTTTCGTTAAGGAAAGTAGTTTTTATTATAATTAAGAATTTAAATGCATTTCCGTTAACGGAAATGCAATTTTCCTTAAGGAAAATATCATTTCTGTTAAGAGAAATTGTATTTCCCTTAACGGAAATAGCATTTCCGTTAAGGGAAATTGGCGCCATCTATGAGAGGACGGCTGAAGTTCAAATAGTTAATTTTATCAAAATTCTATAAAATGAAATTATTGCACTGTGATTTTACAAAAGATTTATTAGTAAAAACAATTTTTTTGATTGTTACCTTTTGAACCTTTTTTACCAACCTTTTTAACCAACCAACCGTTACACATCCACCCACAAAATATCACCCACCAGTGTTGCCAGATGTAAAAAGTGAAATTATCGAACAATATTGACAAAATTATTGAATTTTCAGAAAATTGTTACAAAATTTTTATTGATAATGTTATAATAATAGTAATATTAATAATTATGGGTACTACTCGAGAAAACGAAACTCTCCGAATCGAATCGCAATGACACCGATCGACTTTGGAATCGCATCATTCGAATCGAATTTTGTGTGGCAACGCCGCATGTGTAAGGTGTGATTTGACGTTTTTAATAAAGGTTATTAAAACGAAAAGAAGTAGTAAATAGCAAACTGTAGTAGTAATATTATTAATTATTGTTAATTGTGTCATATTTGTTGCATTCAAACAAAATGAAAGATTCTGGCATCCCAAACAAAGTTGGCAGAACTCTGTAAGCGGTGGAACCTTCGGCACCTTCACCACAGATAGCGCCACCAATTTCTCTTAAGGAAAATGTGATTTCTGTTAAGGGAAATAGCATTTCCGTTAAGGAAAATAACATTTTCGTTAAGGGAATTGTAATTTCCTTTAACGGAAATAGAAGTTTATTTTTGTTTAGTAAAAATAAAAGTAATTCGGGCAATTTTTTGTACACATGATCATCAAGTATCATTTTAATACGATGTTATTTTTTGATTCTCTAAATATTGTTAGACTATATATTGCGGTTCTAAATTTTATTCGGGAACAACATTTCAATGAGTATTTTAAATTAAAATGTTTTTAATTTTTATGTCATTTAGGAAAGTATAAAACTATATCTTTAAGGACAAATGCATTTATATTCGTAAGAGTCAAACCACGTCAAGTGGGACCAGAAAATTTCACGAAATCACCGATTTTGAAAATAATCACATTATTGTGTAGTAGGCATGACTCATATGTCACAGTAAAAAAATTGTTTTAAAATTCGTTTTTTTGGTAATGTTATTAAGGTTGACAATTTTGTCAAACTTTAGAGCACGGTAAAATTGAAAAAATAGAATCTCTGGAACCACTATGTATAATTGTATTAAATTTTACACACTATTGTAGAAATGTTTAGACTATATAATGATCATTTAATTAAGGTTAATTTGTTTAAATAAAATAATTTTGCATACATTTATTATAAACAATTGAAATTTTGTATGTGTTCTTCACGCTGAAAAAAAATTAATCTTGTGTCAAAATATGCGGCAAACGTTCCCGTTTAATAAAATGTACTCAAAAATTTGTCCTTCATATGTCATTCCGGAGATATTAAATTTTTTGTCCCGATGTGCGCTTGATCAGTACGCGGCGCGCTTCGCTGCTAGCTCGTCAGGACACGGTGTGCCTGAACGAAGTTTAAGTCGCATAAAAATTCCGCAGTTTCTTGTTCGGGACTCTTTGGTGACTTAAAAATAATATTTACCAAAATCCTAGCTGCTCCCCTTTTCGAAACATTTTGAAAAATCTTTTTTATGCATTATGCGTTTTACTATAAAAAAGTGATTTTTATCTAACCCTGTATAAATCTAATGATGTGCTCAGTATAAAAACAGTTTCTCTCGTTTACAATATCGGTGTACAAATGTGTACTCTGGCAAAGGTAGACTTTGCAAATTAAAACAAAAAACAGTTAGAATTTTGGTAAATATCTTTTTTAAATCACCAAAGAGTGCCGATCAAAAAACTTCAACCAATTTATCGTTCAAAATTGAAAACTACTAAAAAGCCTTAATTAAACAACATTTTAAATAAGTACTCTCTAAGTATATTTATTAAATTTTATTACAAATCTATTTTTCTTGTAAAATGTTAATAAAAATGCAAATTTTGTAACCTGATAGACGTAGAAATATCTAAAAAAAAAATTGGGGATAAATATTTTTCGCGTGTTATGCTATAAGTAATCATGAATTTACGCTTTTGCATTATTAAAAATAAGTGATTTTTGGCTAACCCTGTATATATCAAATGATGTGAACAATATTAAAAAGTATTCTCTAAGTCTCCTAAATAATTTACTCTAATTTTATAAAAATCGGTGTGCAAATGTGTACTCTGTCAAAGAAATAAACAAAAATTTAAAAAAAAATCATGAATTTTCGAACAATTTTGAAAAGAGTAGCAGCTAGAACTTTGGTAAATATCATTTTTAAGTCACCAAAGGGTCCCGAACAAGAAACTACAATTAGTTTTTGGCGGCATTTTTATGTGACTTAAACTTCGTTCAGGCACACCGTTAAAACATTAGAACGGACGAGCTAGAAACGAAGCGCGCCGCGTACTTATCAAGCGCACAGCGGGACAAAAAAATTAATATCTCCGGAATGACATAGGAAAGACAAATTTTTGAGTACATCTTATTAAACGGAAACGTTTGCCGCATATTATGACACAAGATTAATTTTTTTTCAGCTTGAAGAACACATACAAAATTTCAATTGTTTATAATAAATGTATGCAAAATTATTTTATTTAAACAAATTAACCTTAATTAAATGATCATTATATAGTCTAAACAATAGTGTGTAAAATTTAATTCAATTATACATAGTGGTTCCAGAGATTCTATTTTTTCAATTTTACCGTGCTCTAAAGTTTGACAAAATTGTCAACCTTAATAACATTACCAAAAAAACGAATTTTAAAACAATTTTTTTACTGTGACATATGAGTCATGCCTACTACACAATAATGTGATTATTTTCAAAATCGGTGATTTCGTGAAATTTTCTGGTCCCACTTGACGTGGTTTGACTCAATAGTAATTTTAATTCGTGTTATTTTAATACTTAGCCTGGTCTAACATAAATAAAATGTAACATTGTATCCAAGTCAGAAGCTACTTTAATAAAATTGAATTAAAATAAAATCCTTTTAATGTGTCATAAAATTGCTCCAAAAAACTAAAACAGTAAAAATAATTTGCATTAAAATTATAATTAGTAAATTTAATAAAATTTCTGTTAACGAAAATTGCTTTCACGTTAAGGACAATATTTAAAAAACCAATGGAAATAAATACAACAAATGCATTATTTTTACTATTTGTTAAGAAAATATGCATTCAATTTTGAAATTATTATAAAAATGTAATTTCCCTTAAGGAAAATACATATAATTTCAATAATCTAATGTCTCATAGAAATCAAGTCGAATTAAAATGAGACTTGATAGCCATGTGTAATAAAAACTAAAAAGGCTTGCCATACAAATACCAGAGGAATTACGTTTTATAAAATTAAAGCCTAAATATTTCAGTTGTATGACCATACAAAATATTCGCAACATACTTTGTCCCACACTCAGGGAGACATAAAACTCCCGAGAAAAAATGAACAAAATAAAGGATTCCCCAATCTGCAAACAGTTGAACATTTAAGTGGGAGAGTTATTTTTACACACAAAATATATACCTATAGGTATAGTATACTTTCATAAATATAATTTTAAACATTGTTTATTTATTTGAAATTAAAGCTATATGAAAATTCGTTGCCCTACTAGTACTGAGGGTTGACGAAATAATAAATTTCCTAATCGGTTATTTCTTAACTCTTCATCTCTTGGGCGAAATGCTACTAGTGAGCAAAATGGGATTTCACCCGCAAGCTGAAGTTAGCTTCAAATTAAAATTGGAAAAAACGACGTTGAAACTATCTGACAGATTGGCTTTAAATTCCTGGCGCCATAATTGTTTCGGTTCTTTGATTGTTCATAATTCTATTTTACACTTTACACGTCATGGATATATCTTGCGGAAGTTGAATAAAATATTGTGTGCGACTATTGGTCTAAAGAGAAGATTCCACGCTAACTTTAAGGTCAACTTTAAAATATATTACCATCGATCGGACACCGTTGTCTTAATTCAAATACGATACAGTAAAATGTTAGTCTTAACCTCAAATGAATTAACTAAACAATATTTATATTGTTTTTTTTTTCATAAAAACTTTTTATTTTTAGTTGTAATCTTGTACGTAAATTGCTACAGCGTCAATTTAGCAACGAGTGTTCAAAATGTCTTCACAGCAGCTAAACTTGTTGCGGTACTGATTGTGATAATAGGAGGAGCATATAAAATTTCTGAGGGTAAGTTATACTTTATTTATTTAATTAATTAGTTAAAAAACTTGTGTGTTTTTAAGATTTTGCTAAATAACGATGCCTAGACAAGAATTTTCTTTTAATTTGAAAAGTTAATAGAAATGTTCTTCGTATTTATGTTATTACATGCAAATATGAAATTGTTATTAAAAACCTAATTTATTTTATCTACTTCTACATTGACGATCTGTGACTTTATGGCGTTTTAGTCACAGGATGAAGTTAGCAACAGTGGCTTTTAGGCATTTTAGTCACGGGCTGAAGTTAGCTTTATTATAAATTAGGGAAAATTGATGTTAAACCTGTTAAAATTTGATACATGTCAAATGTTTAACAAATAAAATTGGCTTTAAATTATTCTTCGTGTTCGTCGTAGATAAAGTATGAAACTTGTTTTATAAACTTCGAAGATCTCTAGACACTCGTTTCTAATACAACTCGTTACTAAAATGGCGTCCATAAAACTTTATACATAATATACTTTAATCATTTTCGTTCTTTAATATACGACCAAATCAATATTAATGCATGTATGTAAAAATTGCACATATATTTTGAACAAGTATTTTTTTATAATTCATAAAGCCATTGTTTTAAAAAAAAATGACCCGATTAAAAATAATTAATATTTTAATTGACATATTTATAATATACAGGGTATCCAAAGTTATCTGCTTACCATTGCTAACTTTTTATTGGCGCATAAAAGCCGGTTAGATTAGCAAATTGGTGGTGTTTTTTCTTCCGATTAACGGTAAAAACCGAAAACAATGGAACTTCGGGTTTCCGAAATGTGTTATGAACGACAATTTGAGTTGAAACAAAAAATTATTATGGTTTAACTACCCGAAACCTAAAGATAAACAAATAATAAGCACTAAAACTTTTTAATTTTTGTTAAAATAAAGTAATAATTTTAATTTAGTTATTTCAACAACCTACACAAAATGCCACCAATTTGCTAACTCTTTAATAATGAATTAGCCAAAAATGACTAATTACTACAGTTATTAGTGGCTGCTTTTTCACTTATACCATGGTATACCATGGGATACTATGGTATCCCCGACATAATAGACAACTCATATGTAAAATTGTACGCATAATCCGAAAATGTCGTAAAAAGTTATAAAAGTAGAATACCTATAGTCCATTTTCCATATAATATGGAATTGACTATATCTCAAAAATTGCTTTACTTTTATAATTTTTGACAGTATTTTTGGAATCAGGGGACAATTTTACATAAGAATTGACTATTATGTCGGGGATACCATGGTATCCCATGGTATACCATGGTATAAGTGAAAAATCAGCCAATAAAAACTGTAGTAATTAGTCATTTTTGTGTAATTCATTTTTAGAGAGAATATAACCGACTTTGTAGCTCCAATAATAACGGAGATAACTTATTCTATAGAATAGCAATGCTGAACAGATAAATTTGGACACGGGGTATATTAAGGCTGGGAATTTTACAGTTTAAGAAATTTGAATACACAAATTATTTGACTACTCAAATTACCTATTCGAATATTGAAATACTCGAATATTCCAATACTCGTATATTTGAATTTTAAATTATTTGTATATTTAAATAATAAAATACTTTAAATAATTAAATTTAAAAATTACATAATATTGGAATGCTTGTTAGGTTTAGGTTTTGCTAATAAGTATCGTTCTTATTAGTATGTTTTTTTTCGGCAGTTTTTAAAGCTCGCAAAAAGATTTTGGCAGATTTAAATTCACAACTTTTATCGAAAAATAAAAAAATGGTATCATGAGCCAAAATCAAAATATGCATTTATAAATATATAAATATGCACTATAAAATTTTGGCGGTTTACGTTATTTCGAGAGATTTGTAATTTTAGGCTAAATTCACATGCATCAATGCATAAAAACTCGGCGGCGAAAGCTTATTGATTGACTCGCACACAATCTACTGGCTCGGCTGTCGCCTTTTAACCGGTGCACCGCGGTGGGCGAAACACACAAAAAGCTGGCCAAAATTTAAATAGAGAGCGAATTTATTTGAAAATAAATACCTTTAGGTTTTTAAGGTCAAAATAGTAAAAAACAAAATGGCCGCCACAAAATGGCGGAACTTTGAAAAAACTGACGAAAAAGTACTAGTAAGGGGTTTTCGGGGTCAAGGACCTCAAATTTGAGGTCAAAATGATTGCTTGTTTTTGTTAAAAATAACTTTGCACCCCTAAAAATGAGTGTTAGTGTTTTCGGAGGTCAAGTTATACTTACAAATTTAAGGTTGTTGGGCTGCTAATGCGCCTAAGCAAGATCCACGCTTACCTACCTTGTAAGCGTCCTTAAAACAAAAATCGCAATTGGTCGCAGCCAAATTTTTAATATTTTGTTAAGTAACTTGTTAACTTTGTATTTTGATAGAAATTATATCGGGGCGTCGCGCTGCATTTTTTAAATACATGTTTTTCATTTACTTTTCAGTTGACTAAAAGTTTCTAAATAGATCACTTTAAGGTCACTATAATATAATACATCATGCATGAATAACATAAACCTCGTATTAAAATTTTATCATACGTACCTTCTCTACTCGCTCCATATATCATCGAAGAAATCGCGCAATTTAAACAATATCTACAGCACTTTTAACATAGCGTAAATCTTGACGTTTCGAAACGTCTCGGTTAGGTATGGCGGTAGGCCCTCTTATTCGCTTTCTCAAAGCCCAAATGGATAAAACATAGCCACAAATTTTTGGCAGTTGGTGCAGAAATAGGTTCTTTATAGAATACCGTATTTTGTTTTACGAGAAAAAAAAACATTGATTTTTTCAATTCTGGCCAGCTTTTTCCCCTTTTCCGACCATTGTACGGTGGGCGATTCAATGTATTAAATACTGTAAAAATAATCATATTACGCTATGCCTAGATTAACAAGGCAATTTTTCCCTAAACAATTAATTAAAATTTATATTTAAACTCAGCAAATAATTAACTTGTTTGTGGAAAAAACTTGTGGACTTAAGAATGCAATTTCTCACACAGCGAATTTTCTGGTGCTTAAGCGTAATCGATTCCCATCCCAAAGGACACAATCAAGGGCAGCAGAAGGACGTTAATAAACAGACTTCCGATCTTAAACGTCACGTACGAATTAAGCAGTTTTAAATGACCAACAATTACTTAGCATCAATATATGCGTCGATTAAACATGATGCCCCATAAACAACATAATCAAAGGTGATTTAGTGGTCTACGACTATTTTTAAATTGGCGCTATTAAAAGAAAGAAAAAATGTTGTCTTAACTATAAATGTTTACTTCGTAATTGAAGAATAACAACCAATTAATATTGGCGTAAAAAATTATTGTAGTTATAAGAACGATTTTAGAGTTATTTTTATTGATTATGTTTTAATATAATTTAGACATTTATTTTGTTTTAAGGTAGAAAAATACAATTAATAACGGGAAATGTAAACCTATATACCTTCATGCAATATTTATACAAAATTAGCTAGCTAACTGATCAGCTTAGCTAATTTAACCGGTTAACTAAATTAGCTTAGCTAATTAGCTGGCGGCTTAACCGGTTAATCTAGCTTAGCTCGGATAATTAGCTAACGGCTAACCGGCTAAACGGCTAATTTTTTTAAGCTATTTAATGATTTAATTAATTTAAAAGCCATTTTTATAAATAAAAATAAAATTTAAAATATTAATTACTCTATTATTGTTTGTCATAAAAGCACTATCAATATATTTTTTTAACCTGTCCGTAAATAAGAAATGATATAGCTTAAAAAATTAGCCGTTTAGCCGGTTAGCCGTTAGCTAATTAGCTGAGCTAAGCTAGATTAACCGGTTAAGACGCCAGCTAATTAGCTAAGCTAATTTAGTTAACCGGTTAAATTAGCTAAGCTGATCAGTTAGCTAGCTAATTAACTTAGCTAACTTTTAAATTGTACAGCCCTAATAAAAATGCATTGAAATTACATAAGAGTGTTTCCATCTATCGCGTTTAGCTTGAAATCAGTAATTAAAATGTAAACATAAACATAAATGCATCTACTATCATAATGCATAATGCTCCACACCTCAAAGTGTATAACAGTGTAAAGTACACAACCTGAAAAGCTTTAAATGCCAAATTTTCAAAAGACTGCGTTCCGTACGTAGTCACGTGGTGGGACTTTGAGGTGTGGAGCATAGTAAATCTATCTTAAATAGTTAGGATTGCCAGATTCTGTCAAAAAAAGTACATTTTGTGAGAATTAACCTTAATTACAAAAATAATACAGTAAAGCAATGCAAATTGTGAATTTGACGTTACTTAAGTATTTTTGATTGTGTCATTTTTATAATTAAGGTAAATGGTCACAAAATGTCCTTTATTTTTTTGACAGAATCTGGCAGATTCTAAAAAGCAAAAACCTGAAAAAATATCGCAAGTTCAATAATTTTAATGTAAGTGCAGAATTATAAAATGCTTGAAAACAAACTAGTATATACAACACGGCGAAGAAAGCATATTAACTGCCTCGCTCAGATGCAGCGCCGGGTAAGCTAAGCTCGGCTTTAAATAAGCGCCGCACTGTGTCGTATTTGACCTGTATAGGTGACCAAAAGTAGATTTCTGAAGTTGCCCTTACAGCAAAAAAATATACATAAAATTGATCCTTATGCTTTTCTTGACAATGTACAACCATTTGTTTATTTATAAAATATTAATAAGGACCGTGACGTATAAAATTTTAAAACAATGCACAAACACATTTTTTTATATAAATAACTCGCGCTTGGTAAATATGCGATTAAAACTATAAATTATAATTAACAGGAGTTATATTTGGTAGATTGCTTTAAAATAAATGTCTTTTAAGGTATAACGTTAAAAATTAAAAAAATATTTTATTTTATATATAGTAATAGCCGTCCAAATTTTGTCATTTTTTTAACGTGCATTCAAGCAAACTTTTTGCAAATAGTAATGGTGCCCCAGGTTGCCCCAATTTCTTTTGTGTGTGGAAGTGTTTGTTAATATATGAATAATGGTCGTTATTAAGGATTTTGACGGGAAATGTTGAGAAACTTGGCTACACTTGATTTTATGTCAAAAAATGTGTACCTATTAGAGCTCATTTTTTTAAACTTTTGTCTTTATTTTCCGAGTTTTTTTTTAATCTGGCGCCTTAAAATTAATTATAAACATAAAAATAATAAATATATATTAATTTAAAACTAATTTGGTCATTTGAAAAAAAAATGTCATGTTGCTTTGACGCAAATACTCGAATATATATTTTTTTACTTTTGTCTTTAGTTTTTCTAAAATAACTCATTCTATATATATATATATATATATTTATATATATTTATATATATAATAATATTTAAGAAACGATAGCCAAGTGGCTATAAAAATAACTTCTTAACTTTCTTGCTAACAACATCCATTTCAAATAGCCAAATTTAGCAATCTAACGGATTTGAGAAAAATGAATGGTAGATGAGGTATCTAAACAGAAAACTTTAACAGGATAAGAGTACAAGTGCGAAATCCCTTTTCGAAATCGAAAATAATAAAATTGGTATCGTCACAGAAAAAAGTGAACACCCTGTATAAATTAAATTACAACATTAAAAAATATGTATTAATTCAAATATTTTTGTTCCCTACAAATTTTTCATGACTACAGTTGTTTCTGAGATAGGCATATGGGTTATCTTACGTGGTTCACCCTGTACTTAGCTTCTTTTAATCCTAACTAATGGTTAAATTTATTAAAAATGATCTTTTTGTTTAACAAAAAAGCATTTTCAATATGTTTTTCAAAAAAAATATTTTTGGTCACCTAATCACTCTGTTTACGACATAGTGCGCCGTCTCCGCCTGTTAGATAATGTAACCATTTGACTTTTTAAACTGCGAACTAATATGAAGTCTTTCTATAGGTAAAGGGTTATGAATGTTATAGTTAAAAAATTGTCAAACGCTTGAAAAAAATAGTATATTATTTAGCGAGCGTGGAATTATAGCAATTACTTCCGAAGATGAAAGTTTCCGAGCGAGCCCATAGGCGAGTGAAGGAATTTATTGAGGGAGTAATTGCGATTCCACGCGAGTTAAACTCTAAACTTTTTTGTCGAGTGGAATCGCTTACAAATATGTACACGATTGGGTACCCGCAAGAAACTTGTGTCAAAACTGTCGTTTAATTTAATTCTGACGTTTACATTTAAAATTAATCACGCTTTAGCGTCATCATGGTAGCGAGAGGGAATGAAAAAATATACAGGGGAAGGAATAAGATTGTTCACAGCGGCAGAAATGAACGTCAATTATTAACCATTGCCAATAAAATCGGCGCATAATTAACCACTCGACAAAAAATATATTTTTAATATAATTTAATTTTTTACAGGTAATACTCAGCATTTAAGGCAACCATTTAAAAATACACAATACTCCATTGGTAATATTGCAACTGCTTTCTACACTGGCCTATGGGCCTATGACGGTTGGAATAATTTGAACTATGTTACGGAAGAAATTAAAAACCCCTCCAGGTAAGTGATACCATCAAGAAATATAAAACAATAAAATTTATGATTTCCAAACAATTATGTTTAAACCTAAGAGTTTGAAAATCGATACTAAACACTAAAGCACCTACTCTTAAAATACCCAAGCTGTCCCCAGTTTACTTGACTAAACACTAGGTATATATTACATTAGCTATAGCTAATTACTATAGTAATTAATGAATTCGTAATACTTGTTAAGGTAAAAATCCTAAAATCATATAAGATAAAACATTTATTCCTTATACAACAATAATTGTTTAAACATTCTGTACACTACTCCTAATCTATAGATTCCAAAGACTAAAAATAATTTATAATAACCTTTATCCTACCAAAAAGTACGCCACTGATCGACTAGGAACCGCGGATTAACCTTACCTATTACTTTTTAATGCAGTGTTGCCAAATGTAAAATTAAAAATGTATTAACTTATATGAGATGCTTAAAATGATTTCATTATTTAGAATGCAAGCTTAAACTCTGCGAAGCATGCTTTCGCGCACCCGCGTAAAAATGTCTGGACTATTTACAATTAAGTTCCTGAGTTGCTGCCCAAATCCCGTCTCTCGTTAATGTGGCCTCATCGGTATACAAAACACTACGGCTCCAATCAGCATCTTCTTGATTTTTCTGTATATACCAATGGCAAAATTCCAACCGCAGTGCATAATCTCCATCCTGAAGAGCTTGAACTTTTTGTAGGTGATAGGGGTACAAACTATTTTCGTGAATCGTGCTCCACGTAACAAAGTTGGACATTTGTCCAAGTTGGGAAGTTAATCGTCTTGTACTAATTCTCCGATTTGCTTCCACTTCGTCCAAAATTTGTTCTTCAAGGGCCACAAATTCACGTCCCTGAGCCCGACCCCAATCACCAACAAATACGCTAAATCTTCCGCGGTCCCTTAAATTTTGCACAGCACATACAAAACTTTGCTCCGAGGGTGGTGGATGTCCGTCATTGGCGTTGTGATAATTTTGAATATACCTACCTACAAAATTCTTGCGTGACGAGCATTTTGCATCGCTTCCCCGTAACACAAAACCATATTTGTTAATTGAATATTTGTGAGCGCCCGACCCGCCATAGCATAAAATCTTTTGCACTAATTACTTATTATTGTTACTAATAAAATACAAATATTCAAACATTCAAAATATTTATAAAAGAATAAAAACCTGAAAAAACTTATAAAAACCTGAAATCGCTAGATCACTAATTAGACCTTGTAAAAATTTGTAAACTAATGATTTTTAAAAAATCGTTTTAACATTGTGATTTAAAAACATACTTATAAAAAATATATTTAAATTTAGACACACCAGATTTAAACTTTATTCATAATTCGTAATGATTTACTTTACTTTAAGTTAATGTGGTTTAATTTATTATGTTATGGTTGGTAACACATTCTGTCAAAAAATTGTAGGTTATGTGCTCAAATTGTAAATATCTTACCTAAGGGAAGTGATTTTGGGCGTTTGGATTTATTTACACAAATTGAATGTTTAACGATTAACCTGTGAACTTGTCCTAATTTCATCTGAGTAAACAGAAAGAAAAAAACCGATAAAAAAATTAATTTTATGGAGTTTTTAAATAGGTACTAATTTTTCTTATCATTGTTTAAGTTAATAGCTGGATGAGTAAATAAATACAGAGCTTTAAGGGCTTAAAACTTTTGTATTTATTGAGTTTTTATTTATTTTATGCAAGAAAATTTTTTAGTAACAATTTTTTACAACTGGCAACGTTCAGCTACTTTGTTGGTTTGTATCTATGTACTCACAGAACACAAGTGTGTAACCAGTGGCGTATCAAAAAAAATATAAAAAACTTCTAATGCATATATTTTCTTTATCTTTGGGAAAATATCTTTTAAAATATTTTTCCATTACACCTTATGTCAAAAGGTATTCAGTATTTTAATATATAACATTAATTACATAACACCCTGTATATATAATAAGACTTGAAACAATATAAACAAGGTAAACTTATTATTTTTAAGTTTAAAAACCTTAAATAATACTAATAATAATAAATGTAGAATTTGTTTAACAATTCCTGTGGGTCTGTAGATCATACAAGGTGGGGCTTGACTTCTGGGAAACCCTTTATTTAATTAGAGTTGTAGAAGTTCACAATCATCAAAGTCATTAATAAATTTCAGCTAAAAAGCAAATAAGCCATAGTTATTCAATAAATATTCAGTTAATTTGAGAACTTTTAGTGGTTGTTATAATATTTAATTAATATAATTAATTTTTGTAGAAACCTGCCTCGTAGCATAGTAATAGGCATCCCTTTGGTGACAGTGTGCTACGCGCTTATAAACATCTCATACTTGACCGTGATGTCGCCAATGGAAATGCAAACAAGCGAAGCAGTTGCCGTCACGTTCGGAAACCGTCTTTTGGGCGTCATGGCCTGGCTGATGCCGCTGTCTGTAACGATCTCCACCTTCGGCTCCGCCAACGGCACGCTGTTCGCTGCAGGAAGGCTTTGTTTCGCCGCCAGCAGGGAAGGACATCTTCTGGACATCCTGTCTTATGTGCACATCAGAAGATATACGCCAGCGCCCGGGCTTATTTTTCACGTAAGTAACGTAAAACGTTCACGGCAAGTATAGCCTAGGGTTGCCAAGATGATAGGAAATAATTTGAGGCTTAAATATTTTCATCCGCAGGACGCAAAATTTCCTGAATTTTATTAAAAATAACTTTTAAAAAATTTCAAATTTCCCATTCTTAAATCATTTATACAATAGCTTAACTTGACATTCTAAAGGGAGTTACTTTGGCTTAAAAAAAACTTAAAATAGTTATTTTTTGTATATATTTTTATATAAAAACATTGTTAGGGTATGTTATTTAAAATAGTATATTACACTACAAGGGCAGAAAGTGTGAGATTCCTGCACTGCGCAGTTCAGGGCTCTCACACTTTCTGCCCGTGTAGTGTATACTATTTTTCTTACTACCTCGGCCGAAAATACAACCCGGCCGAAAATACGGGAAAAAATTAAATGTGTATCTCGAAACATATTGATGCCTGCCCAAATTTTGAGGTTATATTAGTGTCGTAATCAGAGTTGCATATGTTGAACATACGACTAAAAAATTTTTATTCCCGCTATTATAGAGTGTGCGCGTATAGCTTGACCAATGCAAGAAACGTAAACTTTCTGCCGTGGAATCGGGGAAGAAACAACGTATTTTCAGTCGAGGTAGTAAGAAATAGTATATTACACTACAAGGGCAGAAAGTGTGAGATTCCTGCACTGCGCGCCATGATGCCCGAGGCGTGCAGTTCAGGGCTCTCACACTTTCTGCCCGTGTAGTGTATACTATTTTTCTTACTACCTCGGCCGAAAATACAACCCGGCCGAAAATACTGGAAAAAATTAAATGTGTATTTATGTACCTATCTCCATTTGAAGAGCTTGATAAATAAATAACAGTAGGCCGTGAATTCAGCGGTGCCAATACAGTAAAAATAAAACGTTGTATTTTAATTAACAAATTACTACTTTATAACAAACTTTTAGTACCATTAAACACTTAAAACAACATAAAAAGTAAATAAGTAAAATCATAAATTGTTTATTTGTTGTTATAATTGCAAAAGTATGGTTTAAAACTGTCATATTTTTGTGTTTCTCATGTTGGCAGTACGAAATTTGAATGTTAAGCACACGACTAAAAAATTTTTACTCCCGCTATTAGAGTGTGCGACCAATGCATAAAACGTAAACTTTCTGCCGTGGAATCGGGGACGAAACAACGTATTTTGAGTCGAGGTAGTAAGAAAAAATATTTTTCTTACTACCTCGACTCAAAATACGTTGTTTCGTCCCCGATTTCACGGCAGAAAGTTTACGTTTCTTGCATTGGTCAAGCTATACGCGCACACTCTAATAGCGGGAGTAAAAATTTTTTAGTCGTGTGCTTAACATTCAAATTTCGTACTGCCAACATGAGAAACACAAAAATATGACAGTTTTAAACCATAATTTTGCAATTATAACAACAAATAAACAATTTATGTTTTTACTTTTTTACTTTTTATGTTGTTTTAAGTGTTTAATGGTACTTTTATTTGTTATAAAGTAGTAATTTGTTAATTAAAATACAACCTTTTATTTTTACTGTATTGGCACCGCTGAATTACCATGACAACGCTACAGTTTGTTTGATTTTGAATGTAAAAGTCAGAATTAAATTAAACGTCAGATTTTAATTTTGACACAACTTTTTTTATATACATTTAATTTTTTCCCGTATTTTCTGCGGGGTAGCAAGAAAAATAGTATACACTACACGGGCAGAAAGTGTGAGAGCCCTGAACTGCGCGCCATGATGCCCTCGGCTTCGCCTCGGGCATCATGGCGCGCAGTGCAGGAATCTCACACTTTCTGCCCTTGAAGTGTAATATACTATTTATCTGAAATCGGCAGTAAAGTAGTCAACCATCGGCAGTAAAGTAAACAATACGAGTATTGTATGCAACCCATTATACATTTTAAGATGTGTCTACTGCTCCTCAGCAGCAACTAAATAATATTTTTAAAAAAGGACCGTCGCGGAGGTCGATTGGACCATTTCATAAAATGTTGTTTAGTAAAAATAATTAAATCGCTGCGGCGGGCAAATATATAATAATCGTCTCAACAAACAGTATACTGTATATATACGTAGACACTACATTCAAATGACATTTGATTTGATCATAAAATGACATTTGACTTAACCATCAATATTAATTATTAATAGGTGTTTTCGCGGTGCTAATCCCGAAATAGTTCGGACATCCTAGGCATGCGCATTTTAATATTTGTTATGCGCACTTTACATTTTTAACCCCAAATTTTAAAAAGCGCATGCCTAGGATGTCCGGATTTAGTTCGGGATTAGCTCCGCGAAAATATGTAGCTATTATTAAATGTGATTTCGGATAAAATTTAATATGCACCTCGGCATTAAAGTCATTTTTTATCACTCACGTGGTTATTTGCCTCGGCTTTCGCCTCGACAAATAATTTCCACGTTCGTGATAAAAAATACGACTTTACTGCCTTGATACATAAATAACTATTTCACTTCCCTTAATTTGTTTATTATACATGTTTTACCTGTGCTATAGTTCGATCTATTATGATACAATATATTTAACTAATAGAAATGCAATACACGCTAATTTTAACTATTGCCTTGGACATAATTCTCATGCTCAAGTCTTAAAAGCCATCATTAAATGGTCGTTGCATTCTATACTATTGTGTATACCTACTCTCTTAAAATAAAATAGTCAAAATTCTACTATTTGAATTGGTACCAGCATTTTTTACTAATAAAATAGGTAGTCGTTTTCACTTTAAAATAGTTATTTTTAACTAAGTATACTTAAATGGTTAAAGTTTGACTAATTTAAGATAAGTCACCATCTCTGACAATTTCTGAGAGTTAAAAGTAACTAATTTCTTTAATCGTTTGCGGCCAACAACAAATTATTGTTTGTTAAATGCATATAGGCTTCATGGATAATGACCCTTAAAAACAAACAAAGATGTAAAAATTTAGCTCAAAACAGCAACACAAAAAATATATTTAACTTTAAAATATTATTAACAATATTTATAGACGCTTGACTAGCGACAGACCCGAGTTCAAACCTCAGCTGGGTCAGAGCTTTTTTAAATTTTAATTTACTAATTTGACTATTTCATTCAGTAGAATTTGACTAATTATAATTATTAGTGACTGCTTTTTCGCTTTGACAATTAGTCAAATATTACTTATAATTAGTTATTTTTGACTAATTCATTTCAAGAGAGTACGAGGTTTGGTCGAAAATATTTTAGTTTAGTTTTAATAATAAAGCGTTAATTTCTAATTATAATTGTTTTTTCCCAAGCTGACTATTGTATCGTACATTGACCTTAAAGCAGGCGCAGTTGAAATGAAAAAAGTGTTAATTACATAAATGTTTATTGTGTATTTTATTGTTTAGTCCATAATAGCCGGCGCAATGGTTTTATATGGTACCATCGATTCCTTGATAGATTTCTTCAGTTTTACTGCCTGGATTTTCTATGGCGGTTCAATGGTGGCGCTTATTGTAATGCGTCACACGAAACCCAACTATCCCAGACCTTACAAGGTAAAACTTATTTTAAAATAAAGATGCGTAGTGTTATATAATACATTATCTCCTTTGATATTTTAGGTACCTATAATCATTCCTTATATGGTGTTACTAATCTCTATCTACCTGATAATAGGCCCTATTATTGATAAGCCTACCATCGAGTACCTTTATGCCGCTCTCTTCATTCTGGGAGGAATGATTTTTTATGTTCCTTTTGTACATTATAAACTGCGTGTTCCGTTTATGGGTAAGTTATAAAATTAATGGTTAATAAATAAATTTAAATTTAGCCATTCAGACAATGAGAAAGAAATGGACGCGTTGTTACAGGCCAAATTTTCAATAAAATTATAACTGACTTAATTAAGAAATTAATAATTATTAATTGAATTAATTAAATATTCTATAACGATGATAATTGAATTAATTAAATATTCTATAACAATGATCGTCAACCGATCAAAATCCAGAAATAGATTTTTGCATGCTTAGGCCCCTTTCCTCACATCAAGGCTTGCTAAGATCTGCTAATTGGTTCGAAATTTAGAGAACTACCTCTGGGCAATTTTTTTAGAAAAAATGGATTTGATTTAAACGTGCCTCACATACTTTTATGCAAAGAGCTCAATAACTTATATAGGGTGTTCACAGCGTGTCGAATTCTTAAACTATTTACTTTTTGACTGGTCCTGTAAAAAAGTATGTCATGCGTACAAAAAAGGCAAAGTATTAATTCGACTTAAAGCCTAATCAGATATCTAACAGGGTGGTTTTAAGGACGAAACCACCCCAAATTAAAAAAGACGTACATTCTAAAAAAAAACATCATGACTTATTTTCATATTTTTGTACTTTCAAATTATATTATACGAGGTGTGTTCAGAAAATATCGGGAATTTTCGTCTTTTGAAACAAATATTTATTTATTCGTCTACATTAATGTTGTCGCCTTCAAAATAGTCCCCATTGGATATTATGCACATGTGCCAGGTCTTCTTTCAATACTCGAAATACTTCTAAAACTCGATCTTTGGGATAGCCTTTAGTTCTTTTAGCGATGCGCTTTTAATGTCATCTATGCTTGCAAAACGACGGCCCTTTAAGGTTCTCTTTATTTTTGGGAATAGGAAAAAGTCAGGCATGTCTGGCGAATATGGAGGCTGGGGCATCATTACAGTATTGTTTTTGGCCAAAAATTTTGTTCAAAATTTAACAATTTTAGAACAAATTTAATTGCCACGCTTTTCATACCCAAAACATTCGAAAAAATTTCATGGGATGAGCCAATCGATATACCAACATCATCAGCGACTTCTCTGATGGTTTATAACCATTTCTTCCACTTTTTCCATGTTTTTATCGGTTGTTAATGTGCTTGTGCGTTCGGGGCGTTCGTCATCTTCAACGTCTTCACGGCCATCTTGGAAACTCTTATACCACTTGTAAACTCTTGTTTTACTTATAGCAGACTCACTATAGGCCTTTGTTAACACTTCACAGAATTTATTTAATTTTTTAAGCAAAATTGGATACAAATTCTTTGATCCATTTCTTTTAACGAACGAAAAAGCGCCGAGCTCATAAAACACGTCTAACCTTAGCGGCTGCCACAGACAAAGTAAACAATGAAAACAGCTAAAGTTTTTATCATACTTCGGGGGCATGTATACCAACATAATAAAGAAAATTTTATGACAACCGGACCCTCCGAACCCGCGAAATTTAACAATTCCCGATATTTTATGAACACACCTCGTATATATTGATATCAAACTTTGTGTAAATATTAGTGTCCGATCGAATGTCAGTTTTTGGCCGAAGCCGAAGCCGAAGGTTCGGCTCTTGTCGTCCTTAGGCCAAAGCCAAAGTTTTAATAAGACTTAAAAATTTGGGCCATTCCACGCGTAACGGATAGGACAGTTGCCGTGTTTTTATTTACAAAATAATATTGTTCTATTATATTACCAATGTCAAATTTTTATAAATAGTTCTAAACTAAAGCGGTTTAACAAGGTTTTTATTTGGAAAAATTAGGTATCATGGTTGACTGTTTAATTCCTTAAAAACTAATAATTTAAAGCGTAACGGACGGGACTTTGTAATAGTTCCGTCCGTTACGCTTTAAATTATTATTATTATTTTTTAAGGAATTACACAGTCAATCACGATACCTAATTTTGCCAAATAAAAACCTTGTTAAACAGCTTTTGTTTAGAACTATTTATAAAAATTTGACATTGGTAATATAATAGAACAATATTATTTTGTAAATAAAAACACGGCAACTGTCCTATCCGTTAAGCGTGGAATGGCCCATTTATAAAAACTGCCTTGACAAAAAAAAATTATTTTTTAACATTTCACTATTTATAAATATAACAATTGTTATATAATTAAAAAAAATATATATATAACAATATAAATAGTAAAATGTTATTGCGTTTAATATATTGTTAAAATATAAATAGGACATATCCAAAAATTATAACTTGGTTTTAAATCTTCGGCTTCAGCAAAAATCTTTCGGCTGGTTTTGGTCGAAGCCGAATGTGCAACCGAATGTGCTTATTTGGCCGAAGGTGGCCGAAGCCGAAGCTTCGGTCGGACACTAGTAAATATGGGACTCCTGGGTTACATAACAGCAATAATGTGTTACGTTAAATGTTGACTTTGTTGGTTAATATATTTGATAAAAAAATTTACACAAAAATTGTAGATAATAAACTGCAGTTGTCATAACAATTCCAAATACTTTAATTGTTTAAAACCTGGCCTTAAACAACGAAGATGAAAAGGTTATGTAACAACAAAAAAGGTCTAGACCTTATTAAAGCTATAATTCAAAACAAAATTTAAATTATCAAATTATTAGAAAATTTGCTTAAGCTCAAATGAAAAATATTTATTTGAAAAAAATATTTGTCTTGTAGATCACGTACCTTTATTTCTTTTTCATTTTGAGTATAAGATATCTTATATATATGCTATTAATGTTAATATTTGTAATGTTAAAATTATTATTTTTATTTTTAGATGGAATAACAGTATTTCTACAAATGTTATTTGAAGTGGCACCTACATCGAACATGTTTGAGTAGTCACCAAACAACTTTAGTTAAAGCTCAAATAGACGCGTAGACGCATCATGGTTACAAGACAATATTTAAGTCTCATCTATACAAAACTATTTTTATTAAGCTTGCTGTGAATAAGTGTAGGGGGACCTAAGGAATTGTAAAAAAATTATAATTAAAAATATTGCATGGATCATTCCTTAACTTTAAGGCATTCTATGGGGTGCAACGTGGATGTCTTTTATCAAAAATATTCAAATAAAATTAGGGCCCAAGATTTAGATTTATTTTGTTGTACCTGGCTATAATTACCTAGGAAATACTTAAATATTCATTCAATATTTAAATCTGGTTGTTGACTTTTGGCTCTAATTTTATTCGATTTTTAAGCATTTTATACCAACTTACTGTACATTTATTACGAAAAGTCTGACTTTTTTAAAAAATTATTTTTATATATTGAAGAATTCTTGTAACCATGATATTTGTAGTTTGTTAAATGATTTAGGTAAACATGAAATTATCATTCCTTACCTAAACATTGTTGAATTTTATATTTATTTTTTATTTTCAATTTATATTTTTTTTATTTAGTTACTTAAATCTTATTTTATAATGAGAGTGTAAAGGGGCACTTGATAAAACTTTACATACGTACAAGAGTACATGAGTATCTACCTACCGAAACTTGCCAAACCTATTTTACATATCCGCAAAATAGTACTCTCATCTAAATACTTGAGTATATTTAAATGATCATTAATTTGAAGTTTAAAAATGTGTTTATATTTATTATAATAATTAAAATTATTGTAATTTTTTTGTAAAAAATACATCAGAAATATTGTTGCCAAAATATAAAGCATATAATGAAAACCTAAATAAATAAATGTTTTAAAATCAATGTTTGTCTATTTTTTTATTTTTTTCCTCATAAAAATATAGTATTATTCTTAATACATGCTATATAGAGTGTCCGGGTAGGGCGCAGTACACCATATTTAAAAATGTTGCAACTTTTAAAAGTTCCTACACTTTTTTTTTAAATGTGGGTGCCCAAACTCAGAAGGCAAAGTTCGGTCACTGAACATCCTTTTTTTTTCTATGAAAATCCAGATAAGCGAGTAAATACGCGACACAATAGAATCCAATAAAAAAAATAAGTAATTGGTTTGAATTAGTTTGATATGTGTTTTGGCGCTATGAATTACCAATTCATTCCAGTTGAATTCCTATATACCAATATATTGGTAATTTCCAATGAAGTCAGCGGCTTGGATTGGGAAATACCAATCCATGCCTATGCTTGTCTCTATTCCCTTGCAGCCTTGAGTTTACGGTTTATTCACCGTGAATTCACTGTGAATTCACCGTGAATAAACTGTCTGTTTGTGACATTTGTAGACATGTTAGACGGTGAATTCACGCACTCTTCACAGTATTTTAATTGTGAATCCACCGTATTTTGGCGGTATATTCACGGTGAATTCGCAGTGAATTTACGGTGAATAAACCAATAATAATAACACAATCGACTATAGCTAGCCATTATTCGTTACTGAGCAGATGAGGATGGAGATGGGGACTTCAAACAATTAATGTTCAGCTATGCCATTACAGACGCACACTTCCAACTAAATATTGCAACCCAACGCTATTTATAGTTAGCTCGCTTGCGTAAGCAGCCGTGAGATGTATTGCTTAAACCGCTTAACACAGAAATCGACTAATAAAAAAAACCGCTAAAAATGGCGTCCAACTTGTTGTTTTTTTCTTTATGATGGCGTCTCAACCTCGTTGATTTTGCGCAGCTACACGAGAGCTCTCTTGCGATATTTGTGTTGTATTGGGAATAACCAATTAGCATATTGTTCGAATCTTACACTTAAAATTTGCGGTGTTTTCACAGTAAACTCACAGCGCTTTTACGGTGAATTCACGGTGATTTCACGATAAATTTACGGTACTTTCACCGTGAATTTACCGTGAAATCACCGTGAATTAACCGTAAAATCACCGTGAATTTATCGCAAAAACAGCGTGAGTTCACCGTTTAATTACCGTCTACAAATGTCACAAATGGACGGTATATTCACTGCACATTAACGGTGTATTCACGGTGAATTCACGCAAACGGTGAATTCACGGTGAATTCACCGTAAACTCAAGGCCGCAAGGGTTGGCTAAATCCAATAGAAATGCACATGGAATGAATTGGTAATTCATAGCGCCAAACCCATTCCAACCAATTAAAACCAATTAATTTTTCTAAATTTAGATTAGAAAATACCTACCAGTTTATTTTTCATTCAAAAATAATTTTAGATCCCAGAAGGATAACCGGGTAAAAACCAGAATTCATTTTTCACAGAAGAGACAAAAAATTTATTGTTACTGAGTAATTTTATTTCTTTATTATTTTTTTTGTGATATATGTATGTATTGATACATATAACTTACTATGACAAATAAGTAATAAAAAATAAATAAAATTACTCGGTTATAATCATTTTTTTGTCTTTCTTGCAAAGGATGTTTGTAGGCATGGTCGAAGTCGATATTGTTTATGTCAAATTTTTTTATTTTGTCCGCTGTGACAACCATTTTCACGCGATCGTCCCTAAACCTTACACATAAACATTTTTAGTACACTACTATCACTATAGTGAAAAAAAGAAAAAACAACAAGTCTTTGGACGCCATTTATTAGCGGTATTTTATTAGTATATTTCAGTGATAAGTGACTATAGTCACTAATAAATGGCGTCCAAAGACTTGTTGTTTTTTCTTTATGATGGCGTCTCAACCTCGTTGATTTTGCGCAGCTACACGAGAGCCCTCTTGCGATATTTGTATTGTATTGGGAATAACCAATTAGCAGATTTTTCCAATCATACACTAGGAATGTCCAATTGAATGCAATTGGAAATTACCTATAGGTAGCTTTATCCAATCGAAACCAATAAAAACCATTATAATCTTAATTGGACTTTTCCATCATGGAAAATACCAGTAAAAACCAATTTCTGTTTTATATCGCGCCCAATTAAATCCAGTAAGTCCAATTCAGACCCATTGATACCAACCAATACTTCAATTGGTTTCTACAGGAATTAATCGGTCATTTACAACAGGGTAATTTATATTTTTAGATATATAAAACAACATTAATTAAGACGAGAGATCCTACACGTCACCCAAATGGTTCCTGTCCGGTTCCGGTTTCGAGAGAAACAACAAATTTCGGTTCGGGTTCAGTTACGGTTCCAAAAAAAATATTTCTGTCCGGTTCGAACCAATTTTTTCGGTCCATACGGTTTTTTTTTGGTTCCAATTTTTTTACCATGTATATAAAAGTACCTACTTAAATTATAAAATGCCATTTTTTTTGGCATGTAATTAAATTACTTTGTCTCTTCTATTTTTTCAAATCAGGTTCTTAAATTTTAGGCTCTTCATTCTTTTTTTCTTTACTTTTATTATTATTATTATTATCATGATAGCACAGTTTATTCTAAGAATGTTTTTTAAACCTTCCAGTGAGAATATTCTTAGGATCATGCTATATTACTTCTAGTCATGTTCTAAGAATGTTTTTTAAACCTTCCAGTGAGAATATTCTTAGGATCATGCTATATATCTTCTAGGCATGTTCTAAGAATGTTTTTTAAACCTTCCAGTGAGAATATTCTTAGGATCATCCTATATTTCTTCTAAAGAACATGCTTAAAAGAAATATAGCATAATCCTAAGAATATTCTCACTGGCCTCTAGGCAGGTTCTTAGAAGGTGCAAAGTTTTGTGGTAAAAATTAATCCACTCTAAACATACCTATGCTTAGAATGTTGAGAAAGTAATTAGTATTAAATACTAAGTAAAAAACAACCCAAAATATTTTTTATAGTTATTTATCAAATTAAAACAATATTAGATAACAAAAATACTTTTACTATAGGTATTTTATTTTATGTTAAAAATAAATATTTATTAATTTGTATACCGATTTTTTATTTCTGAATTAACATTTTTATGTATAATAATCCTACTATCTTCAACTTCAATCTAATCTGACTTATCCCACAAAATTTTCCAATTTTACTTTTTATGAAATAATGGTTCAGAGGTCAAATTGTTTATTTAATATTTTTAAATAAATATATATTAATATGTCGCAAATTTTCACTTTCATATTATGACAGTGAGGCGTATTTGTCGCCTCCTGAAGAATTTTACGAATGTAGAATCCAACATATTAGAACGTGGGTATCTGACATATTTGGAAATATTCTCAAAAGCTTCCTAGAAGCTCCATAAGAAACCTTCTGAGAACATTCCAAAAACGTATTCTTAAAATGTTCTTAGATTGCTTTTTAGGAAGGTTTTAAGAAGCTTCTAAGAATCTACTTGCATCATTAAAAGGGTATCTATTGAATGTTTTAAAAGTCCCTAAGAACATTCTTAGCAATAAGGGAAGGTTCTAAGAATATTCCATTATTCCGAGTCGTATCTTCTTAGAAGATTCTTAGAATCAAATTTTGCTATCAGGGCAGCTGGCTACCTTTATCTTTTTCTTCTGATCTTGTTATTGAAAAAGTGGAAAATTCACATTTAAAATAAGTTTTCCAAAAATAAATAACGGAACTTTCAGCTTTTCTTCTTTTTCTCCAAAAATTATGTTGGTTCTCGCAAATAATTGTTCTTCTAATTTTTTTTCTTTTATGTTTGATCTTGTTGGGGGAAGTAAAAATTTCAGACCAGAAAAAAACCTTTCAACGCTTACTTAAAGCCGGGTCTACAATTGTCGCAGGTCGCAGAACATAAGCTTGCGCAAAGCACCCAGCTGACAAAAGATCCTTGCTCCATCGCCACGTCGCGGGGTGCTTTGCGCAAGCTTATGTTCTGCGATCGGACCTATAAAGATAAAATAAGAAACCCTTTGTCCATTATAAAAATTAAAAGGACTCTAAACACGTATTTAAACAGTTTGAATAAAACTCAACAAAGCAAACACTATAGTATACGATACAAACTAATTTTATAGATTTTTTTAACGAAACAAAATATATACCTAGGTATTTTTTAAATTTTGGAAAAAAAAAATTAAGAAAAAAAAAAAATAACCAAAAAACCGTTTTAAATTTAAAGCGTTCGGGTTCGGTCTCTTGAGTTACATTTAAAAATAATATGGGTTCGGTTACGGTTCCGGTCCACAAATAAATACCGGTTCCGGTGCGGTTTTCTGTCCAATAACGGTCAGGCGGGCTTCAGAAAAATTCTATAAATAGCTGTTCTTTGACTGGTAAATGCGTACAGGGTGGTCCACGTAAGGTGACCGATATACTTATCTCAGAAACTACTGGAGTCACAAAAAATTTGTAAGGAACAAATATTCACGAAGTAAAAAATATTTTTAAAATATTATATTTTCATTTATACAGGGTGTTCGGTTTTCCTTGGGACGATACCAACTTTCTTATTTTCAATGGAACACCCTGTATTTTTTTGCATTTTTGGATTCTTCCCACTCTTTTAGGTATACTTTGTAAATATAATAAATAAGAAAATGTTAATACTTTTTGAGTAAAATTAAGATTTATTAAAATTTCTCTAAATGTAGACACTCGCTAAAAGTTAAAAATAACCAACTAAAAGTTATTATTTTTTATATTGTGTAGTATCCATCTCTTTAATAATAAGTAAGCTATAAGTTAATTATTATATTTTTTGGAAAATATCATACAGGGTGTTTTCTATGTCCCGTTGAAAATAGCGATTTTAAAAGTTTAAAATCTTGTTTTTATTCAATGGAACACCCTATATATTTTTGCATAATTGGATAGAATAAGTAATTACCTTTCATTTTATATATACATGTCCTATACCTTAACCTAACAGAAAAAAAAATATTCGCATTTTTCACAATTAGTAGCTTCTTTCCAATTACCTTAGTTAAATTTTCATTATTCAAAGAAAACACCCTGTATAATATTTTCCAAAAAATAAATTAATTAACTTATAGCTTACTTATT